TTCCTTTAGACATAGAGTTATTACATGAAAGAAGAAAGACAATAAAGAAAGAAACTGAGAGAACACACACGGGAAAACGTCTGTCAGAATGAAAGTCAAGAAACAACTATAGTAATTAACGTATATATAAAAACAAATGAAAGAAAAAGAGAATGCACATGCATAGATAATTTCTTTAGCATGATTTCAACTTATGCCACGACTTATGTACGTACTATAATGCTAGAGTCAGAAAGTTATTTATTCGCGCAATTTCAAAAAGTAAAAGAAGTATATTCTCGCTATTTCTTTCTGTCAAATTTATCTAGACGTTTCAGTTCAGCGGCCGGACCAAGAGAAGAAGGTCGAACTTATGGAACCTTTATGTCGAAAAGTCGAAGAATAGTCACATCTTCACTCTATTAAGTGGTACATATACAGATGCTACCTGCAATGTTCCAACTGGAACTTGAAGATCGACCACAATTTTGTTCACCTTGAATGCGGCCGGATTCTCCTGATCATTGTATAGGAGTTCTCGAAAAATTCCCTGAATACCATTCGAGAGCCCTAGTTCACAGGTGATATTATCAGTAAGAAGTACATTCATGTTTGGTACAATAGGTAAAAAATCGGGAAGAAACGCGGTCTTGTTGTTAGATAGCTGATTTTCACTTAACGTCCCTTTTGAGAATAACAGCTACAAATCATTTATTTCCATGTATGATACCTATTTGTACAATTAACTATTATCGATATCTTAGCCTTCAACCTGTTTCTTTCAGAAGATGAATTTAGTGAAGCACATTAAATGCTTCTATAATTACATTGTTATTACTAACTAGTGATAGACTGCAATTCTCCACCTGATTTTCCTCCAGTGAAGTTTTTTCCAAACCTTTCATAGTAGGCTCTGGTGTTTTCCCTCGACTAATTTTTGATTAAGTATTCTAGAAAACCCACTTTAAAAGTACTAATTGAAAAAAGCTAAGAGTTGACGTCAGACTTGTATTTTGCATCTTCAACTACCTTTGATCAAGTTTTTCATAATATTAATAATTAATTCGTTAAAAAGTGACCTCGGATTCCACATGCACGAATACTTAAGGTCAAGTTTTTAAGTAATTATTCCTTTGGTTGTCGTATCATTGTCCGACCAATCAGTGAAGTGTGAACCAAGCACTCGATTTTTCAAACAAAACAATTATTCGGACACTAAGGTCTAAGCACACATGGTAGCCATTTAGATATTCTTATTTCTTCTCATACTCCTAAAATCACCATTTTAACAGGTGTAGGTAAACAAATTAGTAATTTTCGTTTGGTGATAATAGTTTCGGAGGTGTTTCATTTTTAATTCATCACTCAATAAAAAGTAAAGTAATTGAAAAAGCAGAAAACGTTTTATTTCTAGAAATTCAAACCACAAATGATACAGCTGTAGTAGGAGGAGTGTACGTCCCCCCTATAAAACGACCTCCTTTCCAACTTTTCGAGCAACATATGAACAAAAATTTCATCATTTTTGGAGATTTTAATGCTAAACATGTTCAATGGAAATGTACTAAGAATAATACCAGTGACAATCAACTAAAAGATTGGCTAGATATAAATGGATACTATACGGTTAACACATTAATCCCCACTTACAAAAGATCCGATTCAATTATAGATTTCGCTATTACAAATGATAGGTAGGGAACCTCAGATCATTTTTGTTTCTCTTTTCATCTCCACTAAGTTTAGAAGAAAACTCATACTTTCGTAAAACAAACTGGAAAACTTATTCTTTATTTCTAAAATCTACTTTTGAATATTGGAATACTATAGCCTATAATTTTGATCATGAAACATTCTTTATTTTATTTTCAGAGTTTCTCTCTTCTCTTTGGGACATATGTAATAAATACGAATTATCTAACAAATTTAAACCACCTTGGCCGCATTATTTACTTAACCTAACTAGAAACGTTAATAAATTCAAAAGAAAATATAGAAAAACTCGATTTCTAAAATATTAAAATGCTCACAGAATTTGGAATGATGTATATAAAACGGAAAGGTTAAAATTTGCAGAAAGCCAAAGGAAAAACCAACTAAAATTTATGAGATTCGAAAATAATATTTGGAAAATAGTAAATAAATCCTTTAGAAAATATTCTCCTCCGTTTCGCGGTTTGAAAACACCTAACGGAACTATAAAAGATATTAAAGAAATTGTCACTGTTTTAGCAGATCATTAAGAAACACATTTTCCCTTACCTAAATCAAATTTAACTAATATACAACATTGTAAATCTATGGAACCATATAATCAAATATCATATACTCCGAATATTCCACTAGATCAATTTTCTATTGAAGAAGTCACCAAACATTGGAAAAAATTCAAACCAAAAAACTCATTAGATAGTATCAATACTTCTTCCTTTCTACTGAAAAACCTTCCTTAAGAATATTTACGTGTCATTACTATTCTTTTTAACAAGTGTGCGTCTAAGGGCGAGTTTTTTTAGCGGGATAAAAAGGCGAGAGGGATCTGTTTGTCTAAGTATGGAATATATCCATCTGTAGACAAATTACGTTCAATTTCGCTGCTGCGGAACCTGGCCAAATGGTTTGAGAGAATAATTGTAAAGAGAATTGAGAAATGGTGTGTTATGAATGGAATAAATACAGACGAACAATCTCGATGTACTTCTAATCGGATACTTCAAACTCGCATTCTCTCTATAATTGAAGATCTTCGACTAACTGTGACGGCTCCAAACAGCCCAACACTGTCGATCTTCATTGATTTCCTTATCGCCTTCGACCACATGTGGCATCCGGTGCTGATGAGAACTCTTGAACAGCTGAATATGCCTCTGCAACTTCGTAGATGGTTATTTGTTTGGTTACAAAATCATACAATGACAATATCACGCGGTGATGCTGAGTCGAGATTAATCAAGATTTCTCTTGGCGCTCCACAGGGTCTGTTCTTACAGCGTTACTGTTTCGATTGCATGTCCATTTTTTACCATCATACTTAACTCGAATAACCTCGCACTTATTCGTTGATGATCTCACACTTATCATTAAAGGAGTACTTGAATTGAAACTATCTGGTAATCTAGAATATTTAGAAACTCAAGCGAAATCAGTACTAAAAACCTTAGAAAAATTTGCGGATGATCATATATTACCCGTTAATGTAGTCAAAACAAAGTCAATGCTAATACACAGTGCAGTAAAAGTTTCCAACCCAAAAATTGAATATAAAGGAACTTCAATTAATTATGTGAAATCTTTTAAATTATTAGGAGTAGAAATCGGAACTAAACTAGGCTGGGAAAATTTCATAAGAAGTCGCTTGAAAAAAATAAGAAGCATTTATGATGGGCTAAGAAAATTATTTCGTTCTATACCTAAAACAGAAATAAAAATTCGTAGAAAACTTTTCTCTGCTTACGTCTTACCTCAATTCTTGCGGTTGTGGTTGTTTGCCACCTAGTTCTTTTACACCGAGAAATAGCAAGCCAACGTGGAGCATGTTTAGTGTTCTGGGATCCAGATAGTTTATAGTGTCCCCAATTGGGACGATCTTACTGCTCTGACAATCGCTAGAAAAGTCTCACGTATTGATATTATATTTTAAAATACTGGATAAAATTCACACAACATTTAGAAGAATCTGCGGAAGGAGTTGTCTTCCAACAAAGAACAAATGCGTTTTTTGTCGCCACCTCAGACTCTAAAATATACTATAAAGGTTGCGGTTTCAGAAAAAATGCAAAATTCCCAAAAATACTACTGCTGAAAGAGCACAAAGAACTAAATTTGATTACCTAAACTTCCTACATACTCAGAAACAACAATACCAAATTTTCAAGAAATCCTCTAGTATTCTCGAATGGGCTATTCTTAAATATTTTACAGGCCCACCAGGAATATTAGAACCTCTATAATAATGTAATAAAAAAAAATTTTTCAATTTCTTTTTCTTTGAAACTCTTTCATTTTCATTTATTCCATCATTTTCTTCCGCGACCTCTTCGTCTGATTTATCACTTTCATATTGAACAACTTCTATGACTTCCATCTATTTTGCTCGTTAAATACTAAGGTGAACGTGAAGAAAGAAACAAAGAGTACATGTATATAGGTCGTACTTGTCAGCTGTAAGACATATGGACCAAAAGAACAAAGAAGAAAAAAATGAATCACCTTATAACACATTTCGATTTTTCTACTGGTCTTTTAATTTAATTTACTGATCTTTTAAATATATCAATAAATCGAAGTATCTTAATTACTGATCATTTCATTTATTCTACTGATCGCTTAAATGATAGCCTTATTTAACGTCAAATTTGAGTATGTTTCTTGTTTTCTAAAGTTAAAGTTATAGTCATTCTTTTACGAATTGTGCTATCAAATATATTTTTATGAATATTCCGGTATTTTGAAGGCGAAAGATGACGGATCCTGCATAATCGATAGGAAAATTTTGACTATTGTGAACAAACATTAGCCTAAAATACTTGGTTCTCCTCTCATTTAGTATTTACTACTGTTAAAGTCACGTATTTTCCTCATACCAATGATGAGTATCCATCCAAACAATGGATTAAATTTAATTCGATAGAATTTTATTTTATTTTAAATTAAATTAAATAAACTGTAAATTGACACCCCCAATTACGTGTAAAAACTCAAATTATCTATTGAATAATTTACATTTTTCATTCAATATATGATTACATGAATCTCTATAATGGTATCCATGTTTTTCCTTAACTCGTTGTTAACATTGCTCACACTGTTCCATCATGAGTTTTTAAATTAAATAAATTGAACGCAGTCAGTACAAAGATGCCGAAAAAAATATAGATTTCTGAGTATTTTACAGAAATTCACCAGCGTGAGTACCTTCACTATGTTTTGCTGTATTTCATAAATGATCATTACGACGACATGAGAAGAAAAACAAGGGATGGAATCTTCTATTAATACGATATAATGATTGAATTCATCTAATGGAAAGAGAAGTGGCCACATTATTTGCTCCACAGGTCCTAGAGAGAAATCCAGATATTGTGGGTGTCATGTTTATTATGACAATAGATCCAAGTAAAATATCAACTTCAATCACACCATTTGCAATGATTGATGAACACAGTGCTCTCCCACAAGAACAAGAAATACTATTTACAATGCACACTGTTTTTCGTGTTGGTGAAATTACACAGACGGATGAGAATAGTCGTCTTTGGGAAGTATATTTGACTATTACTGACGAGAGTGATCTACAACTGCTTGATCTTACCAGTCGAATCAAAGAGGAAACCAGCGGTAGAGGATCGTATCGAATGGGCCAATTAATGCTCAAAGTGGGTCATTTCGATCAAGCTGAGGAACTCTACAATGAATTACTCGAGAATGCTTCCAATGATAGTGAGAGAGTATATATCTATCACCAGCTTGGGGTGATGAATTATCATCGAGGTGAATACCAACAAGCAGTTACTTGTTACGAAAAATCCCTCGAAATCGAGCGAAAAACGCTTTCAGAAGATGATGCTTCATTAGCGCCTACTTATGGTAACATACGTCTAGTGTATAAAAACATGGGTGAATACTCGAAAGCACTGGAATATTACGAAAAATCAATTAAAATAGGAGAAATATCTCTGCCTCCGACTCATCCCGGTTTGGCTATGTCCTACAACAACATCGGTAGTATGTATAACAACATGGGTGAATACTCGAAAGCACTGGAATATTACGAAAAATCACTCAAAATCAAAGAAATATCTCTGCCTCCGACTCATCCCAATTTGGCTATTTCCTACAACAACATCGGTGGAGTGTACGGCAGCATGGGCGAATACTCGAAAGCACTGGAATATTACGAAAAATCACTGAAAATAAGAGAAAAAGCGTTGCCTCCATCTCATCCCAATTTGGCTGGTAGTTACTTGAATTTAGCAGGCTGCTACGAAACGATGGGAGATTATACGGCAGCACTTAAGGCTCTTAAAAATGCTTATAAGATTCAACAAAAAACATTTGAAGAAAGTAATATAGCTTTTGCTTCAATATTCAGTTGGTACGGAAGAGTATACCGGGATTTGAAAGAGTACTTAAAGGCAATAAATTACTATGAAAAATGTCTCGCAATAGATAGAAAAATTCTACCAGAAAAACATCCATATCTCGCAATAGCTTACAGTAATATAGGTGATGTTCATCGACTAATGGGTGATTATGAAAAAGCACTGGCATTTCATGACAAGGCATTAAATATTCAAGAAAATGTGAAATGTAATCCTCTGAATTGTGCAAAAACATATATGAATGTAGGTGAAACTTATCGTGAAATGAAAGATTATACAACAGCATTAACATATTATCAAAAAGGATTAAAAATACGTGAAGAAAAACTGGCAAAAAGTCATCCTGATTTAGCTGTAATATATCACAATATGTCGAAATTATATTTCTCCACTCAAAAATATAGTATGGCAATGAAATAGGTTCAACAAGCAGTTGAAATTGGACAAGAGAAGTTATCTTCAACTCATCCACATCTAGTAGAATATAGAGAAACATTTGAAAAGATTAGAAAGAAACAGTAAAATATTTCATTGGTTCTTTTTCTTCTTCTAGTATTTACTCAAGTAAATTGCTTTGATAACTATTGATTATTTCCTATTCGTGCTCGCGACCAGAAAGACCTGCCGTGTATCCAGATACGGATACGCATAGAGCGGACCACGCCTGGCTGGTAGGGCAATGCACGTAGGTATTCCGTACGTACGACGTCAGGGACGCCACGCACATAATGCAGGCCTTCCCGAGTACTACACTACTTCGCTGCAACAGAGTGGCACGAAGAATCTATCTGGATCAGCCAACGAAGCCGCTCTGACAGGCTATCATATAGAACGAAAAGGAATAAGTAAAATAATAGGAACATCTCGTCTGGTGATATATCATGGAGATGCTCGCTGTTGTTAAAGACGATCAATATAAATTTATCTGAAAAAAAAAGGAAATTATTTAATAAGGATTCTGGAATGTATTTAATATATAAAGTGAAAAATAAAAGTAATTAACAGTTTTATTGCCCATTGCATAAAAGAAAAAAGAGTTATTATTATTATTGTACTTGATTAATATGAACAAATTATAAACAAAAGAAAAGAAAAGAAAAACAAAACACAGATAACGAATATGTAGTTCATTTATTTTAAATTAAAAAAAAAGTGTTAGGATTTCTAAAATTGTAACGTGCACCTCTGAAACGAAAGAAAATAATTTGTTTCTTACAATATTTACTATAATAGTTATGTTTAATTCAATCGAAGATACAATGATTATGTTAAAGAGAAGCATCGTATACATACACATAACCCTTGATATATAATTAAGTGTCAACCATTCCAAAAATCATAATAGAAGATCCAGAACGAAAAACAAATGAATAGATGATATATCGTAATATTTACATTTATTAATTCAAGAATCTATTGACCATTTCAATATTAATAATATTATTCCTGCTGATCGATGTGAACACATATTCTAAAACAAACGAAAAAAGAAAACAATTTACTATCTCGTTTCTTTATGTTACATGCAGGGCTGCCAAATGTTCCCCGTTTTGGGGTATTGTACCCCATTTTGCCATCTCGTACCCCAAAAATATTGTATCCCTGGGGTACACTTTTTTGTACCGCATTCGGGTTTTTACGCTTTTCATATCATAAACTGATTCTTGATATATATAAATTGTGTTTTACAATGAAGCTCATATGGTCACTATAGCGATATTTACAGCGAACAATATTGGTGAAAAATCAGCCAATAATTATTAGCATCTGTTTTATTCATTTAGTCTTGTTGTATCTAAATTGTTTTTATCTTCAGATCAAAATAAATTTTGATGAGTCTTTTCTTTTTTCCTTATAGTGAAACTGTAGCTGCTGAATTAAAAATACGATTGAATTGTAAGATGAATTGTAATGAGTTTTTTACATTTTTCAGAATAAACCTGAACTAATCAACTGTGCTCGACGACAAGAAAAATATAGTCATGTTAAGAAACCTTGCTCCAGTTGATTACAATATTTAGAATGCCTTGATTGGAAGTTTTGTATTGTTTTGTGGATTATAGGTCTTCTATTTAAATTACGACTTAATTGTGGCAGTGTCCTATTGTGAAAACTTCTCAATAAACTCGAAATCTAATAGAGAACAGTGCAAAATTATGTTGTTTTTTAAGAGAAAAGGTATTTCAGATAGTTTTTCCAAACGAATTCTTTCCATTTAAAAAGAATTGTACCCCAACTGTACCCCGTTTGAAATCTGATGTACCACATTTGAAAATCAGCACTCGGCAGCCCTGTAGACGATGCTAATTAAAAACTAATTTTTTAACAGTAAAGATTGAAGATAAAGGAATAAAAAGGTAAAAAATGGTGATCATGTGATCATAGAATAACTTCGGTAGGCATTTTAAACAGCTTACTTTTAAAATCATTAACTATATCGTCATTCGAATTAAACTTATGTAGTCAAGCTGAAACATCGTCTACATTCCACATAAGTGGATCAAAGTATTCATCTATAATAATAAAAAACACCATCCTTACTAATTTTCATCTACTGAGTGCACGCATCTTAGTTTGGATAACAATATCAGAGTGCTTGAAGAACTATCTTTATTTCTTTTTGTCACGAATCGAATTCAAAAAAGATTTGTGTTTTGGTACATTTGGCATACATGAGTCTTCTTTGGTAAATAAAAAATGTATCAAGAGAAAATAAGAGATAGTTATAAATTATTGGAATTTCATTGATTAATTTGCAGGTGAAAAAGAAGTATTTTTGACTTGTTTATGAAAGCATAGAGACATTTTGGAGAAGTTGAATAAATTATCCTGTTAAATAAGAATATACATAAAAAGGATTAAAACAAAATATGTCAATTTTTTTCATAAATAGATGTTAATTTACTCATCCAAGGAGTTCAATGTGAATTATCTGAGCTAATAAGATTAATTACTTCAAACTACATGACAACTAGTAGCCCCTCATCTTCAGATCACAATTCACTTTACAACAATTGAAGTAAACAATACTAAATTGCATATGCATGATAACATATCTCTTTATTAGAGAGGCACCTACTTTTATTTTTATTCGAAATACAAATACGGAGAACGAACAAGAACACAAAGAAAATAGAATGATACTCTGACTCATCACTGGTCATGTGGATACATCTCAAGAATCGTTTTTGCTTCTAAAATAATAATGCTTGTTTCAGTGTATTAGAAATGGATGTTTCCTCATTAAATCAAGCATAAGATTTTTTTTTTATAAAACTTTGATGTAAACTAGTTAAAAGAATCTTTAAGCATAAGAACTTCCCGTGCTTTACTGCAATGTTTTCAAAGATAGTAATGTTTGAACAATGAACAAAACTTAATTCAATAAAAAAAAAGGAGAAAAACGAAATTTCTTGAATGGAATGATGTTTTAGTGAAGTGTACCAAGTTTCAAAGCAAAATTCGTCATTTTATATATTTACAACTGTACACAACTAGGAATGAAAAAATAAGACAAAATTCTCTTGCAAAAGACGATTTCTGTTATAGCTACCGAGTAACTCCTAAAAATGCAAATTATACAATGGCGATCTGAAAATGAAAAAAATGAAATTTTAATACTAGTTCGGTTTTCCACTATGTTTAATGAGTTTCAGAGAAATTTTCTCGGAAACTCATAGGTTTCTAATAACTTAGAAATCTGGAAGGGTTTTCGAGATTTGTTCGGAAACCAAGCTAGTATTCTGGCATACGCTTTCGACGTTTTCGATCCCCAGAAATCCAAAAGATTCCCGAAAAAAAAGTTGTCGAAAATCGATAGGTTACTGACGGCACGCTTTACGTTTCTGCGAAAGGTTTTCAAAACAAGAGCGGTTCCCGAGGATAATTTTTGGGCTTCAAAAATTGTTTGATGGTTTCTGAGAGAACTGTTAAAGGTTTCCTATCCGAATTCTCGAAAACCGAACCGTTTCGGGGGACTCGGAAACGTCTGTGAGTTTCCGAAAGGGTTTCCAAAGAGATTTTGGGCTCTGGGGAAACGCTTTTTATTTAGAGTGTATTATCATTCGTGACAGCTTTGATTCCTTTGTGGCACATCTTTGATTCTATAGGTCTCATATACGGTCCTTTGTGCCATTGATATCATATAGTTACTGTGATACACAGAGAGATATGCAGCCAGGTTAATTTAAATTTACAGACCATTCCCTTTGTCTAAGGTAAATCGAATCGACTCTCGATGACCGTTACCTGTTAACAGGTGCGCTGTTCAAAATATAAACGAATCGTATTAGATTTCTTTCATTCAATCATCACTTTACCTCATTTTATACACATTCTTCTTCATATAATAGAATTCTCTATAACTTTATTATGCATAATGTACGCCTTTCCTTGTAAAAAAATATAAAAGTCTACAAAATTCTGAATTCTGTTTTGGCAGGCATTCTGCAACTGCCGTCAGCCGAGTCAATCAAAGCTGTAAAACTCTAGATACAGTATTCTTAGTTCTCACCCCTTCTACCAGTTCTAACCAAAATTCAAGTGGTGGATAACTTATACACTGTATAATAGAGGTTATAACTTTATACCCCTTCCACCCCCTCTAACCAAGATTCAAGTGGTGGATAACTTATGTGGTGTATAATAGAGGTTATAACTTAATACCCCTTCCACCCCCTGTAACTAAAATTCAAGTGGTGGATAACTTGTGTGGTGTATAATAGAGGTTATAACTTCATACCCCTTCCACCCCCTCTAAATAAAATTCAAGTGGTGGATAACTTATATTTCTTGTGATAGTAAAATATTTAATCAATTTCGTTTTTTAATGAGTTTTTAAAAATCTTTTGTTATTCATTCTTAGTAAAATTTTCACGATGCATTTATGGTAACATTAACATGTTGTTGGCTATGATAGTTGTGTTTACTTTTTTTTTGCCTTGACATTAGTATATTATGAAATTTTTTTGTGTAAAATTGATCTCAAATAATATTTTTTTTTATATAAGTGTCAATTGTTCAAGTGTTATTAGATTTATATGAATTTTTTTTGCTAACATAATTGTACACTAATTAATTAGTTCAAGAATTAAAAATAATGATACCATGTTTGTTGTTTGAATTTTCTTTTCTATTTAAAATATATTTCAAAAATAAATAAACAATTTTATACACACATGTGCTTAATTGTATAATTCAATTTTGTTTTACTAAATGAATGTTCGAAGGATATACAATTGATTTTACGATATTTGAAATTAATATAATAATTCATTCATCTAAAATAAAATTATAATTTCTTACCCCATCTCATATTGATTCTCGAAAACCATGTGTTCTCCCCCCCCCCCGCG